ACAACAAGAGCAGGCTCACCGGTCATAGTGACAATTCTTCCTAATATCAGAGTAATATCAGAGTCTATCAGAGTAAGACGTCAGAAGAGAGGGGGGGTTTGGGCCATAGTTGCCGACTAATCTCGGACTCAGAGGCGCCATAGATAGACTCTTTTGTTTATTCCATCCTATAAATGTGAGAGAGAATGAGCACTGTTCAGCAGATCTATCCGGGACCTGCCACGCGGTTACACGGTTGTATTTCCTGTATATGTATACATTTACTGAGATAATAAACCACACTTTGATTTGAACTACAGCTCTTGTTGTTTATTTTATATTTAATATTGTGTATTTCACTCCTTAGAAATTCCACAACAACGTCATGGAGCAGTCTGCCTACGTTTTTCTTTGATAAATAAATGCGTTTATATATTGATGCATTTCCTGACTTGAGATTTATATTTATTATTTTTGAAACTCTCTATATCACATTTTAAAACCTTGAACCAAACAAATATAAATGTATATTATTAAAGACATCCATGACATTTGCTATAGACAAACATAAATGGATATAATGAGAAGCAAGTCCACTGCGCCATCATGTGGTCAACACGTGTATAACAGGCTCAGTTCTTACTATAAACTAGAGCTACAACTAACGATTATTTTGTAATCAATTAATCTATCAATTATTTTTACGATTAATCGTGTAATCGCTTGGCTGTGAATTGTGTAGAAAAAAAATATTTTTTCATCACAAAAAGCTAAAGTGGCAACACTCGAGGACGTATTGATGGCGTAAACTTAAAGTAAATGTTTGTAACAGGCTCTTTGTGCTAATTCTGCTCTGATTGGATGAGACAGACAGATATTCATGAAATTATAAAAACAAAGTCGGTTTTAATCAAAAATACTACATTTTCATGTCATTTTTGCTCTGTTTGAGTCCGTGTGAACCAGAAAACGATTAATCGATTACTAAAATAGTTGTCGACTATTTCAATAATCGATTAGTCGTTGATTAATTGATTAGTTGTTTCAGCCCTATTATAAACGGTGGAGAATGTGGAGAGTTGTGATGTCACATGTGAGTGTGTTACTTTGTTCATGTCTCTGCTTATGCACAGACACGATCTGGCAACTTCACCTGGAACAGACTTAAAGCAGAGACATCAAAGGCACTGAGGCTGTGGAGGTTCAGCTTCACACAGTGGAAACTATCACATGTTCAAACTAAAGTGCATTTAGGAACTTTTTTCATTCATTCAGTTTCTTTGAAAATGGCAAACACACACAGGACCAGCTTCTACTACAGTAAGGTTGGTTTTATTATTGATATTCTACACACAAAAAAATCTATTTATTTATTATAAACTGTGTGTGTGTTTTCACAGCGCACGGACAGGTTAGAATGGATTAAATCATTTGTACATAACGTTTAAAACAAACAGTGTGTGAATGAAAAGAATGAATCCATTTGAGGCTTTGAACTCTGAAGAGGAAGTGCTGTGTGCATTTGTAATGTCATTGTTATTTTGACTCTGAATTATCACAGGAGAAGCAACTGGCAGAGACACAAACACATAGACACGGTTGTCACGGCAACTGTTACCATAGCGACGGTTGCCATGGCAGGCTTAAACTTTCCCCTTTATTATTATTCACTACCGTTGAAATGGTTTAACTTTGTTTAGGTAAACTATTCTCCGAGACAGAGCTTTTACCTTCCTGACACCACATCCTTTGACCCGACCCCAGCTATGAGTTGCTCAAGATCCAGATCCATACCGTCATCGTTGTTAATAAATTCTTCCATGGCTAGTACATCTGTAAATTCATGTATCCACTTTTCTACTTCAAAACAGTTTAATTTACGATGTTTCCAATTCATTATTATCATTCTTTTAGCCGCAATGAAAGCTATATTAGCTATCTTATAGTTCTGTTTGTTTTCCAGTTGAGTATCTCTGAATCCGAGTAAGCAAGTAGCTGGGGAAGGGCACAGGTTAATACTTAATAGTTTTGAGACTGCATTTACTATCTGTGTCCAGAAATGTGTAATATCAGGGCAGTACCAAAGCATATGTATTAATGTTCCCCTTTGACCACAGCCTCCCAGCATAAGTCTGAGGTCTGTGGGTCTATTAAGTTGAGTTTGGCTGGAGTTATATAAGCTCTATGTAATAATTTGAATTGTATCATCCTAATTTTTATTGATTTTGATATTCTGGTTATATTCCTCCATATTGGTTTCCATTCTGAAATGGTAATTGTTTGTCCTAGATCTTGTCCCCATTTTGATTCAGTTTGTTTATTTACAGTCTGGTCTGAGTTAATAAGTAGTTTATACAGACCCGAAACTGTCCCTTTATTAATCACCAACTTTCTGTATTTGTTATCCATTTCACTATCATATTTAAAGTATTCCTTTGGTAGTCTGGAGAAAACTGAAGCTATTTGGGCGTATTGCAAAAAGGCATTTGTACATAAGCCATATTTAGTTCTCAGCTCCTCAAAAGACCGCAGTGAACCTTGATTGATAATATCAGAAATTTGCAAAATGTTATTTTGTTTCCATGCTTTATTTGTTAAAGGATTCCCTGCAGCTGTAATTGCCATATTGTTCCATATTGGACAGGATGCAAGTACCAATTTTGTATTACCCAATTTTTGGCGCATTTTCTTAATGGTTGTACAGGTCAGCCGCATAAGAGGGTTCTTCAGTTTAACAGGTAGATATGGATGATACCATAGTGATGATAGTGAAATGGATGCATTCTTTTTCTTTAAATACTTGTTCTTCCAGCCAATCCCAACTCCCTTTCTCTTGTATCTTCCTATAACCCCAGGCTAAACCATATCTGACATTAAATGCAATATAATACAGAAAGATGTCTGGAATACCTAGACCACCTTGGTCTCTCTGTAGAGACAGTTTTTTTTATATTGATCCTGGGTTAGGGTTATTTTCTTCACATCATCAAACCAACACATTGGTATATTAAGAGGCACTGAGGAGATGAGAGAGAGAATTCTTGGGAGAATATTCATCTTAATTATTTCAACTCTGCCCCACAGAGACAATGGCAGTGATGACCATCTCTTAAGGTCTTCTTTTATAGTATTTGTTAGTGGATGTAAGTTTTTTTCCATAGTTTTGTCTATCGGCAACCCAATTGTAACCCCCAAGTATTTCATGCCCTCATTTTTCCAGACAAAAGGAGCTGTACCCAAGTCTTTTTTATATGTAAAGTAATTTAGAGGTATTGCTTCACTCTTGCTCCAGTTAACCTTGATAAGTGTGTTTGATTAAAAAAAATGTTGATGTGAACCATGTGTCCCTGAGGGTAAAGGTGGCATTGTCTGTCAATGATTCTCTTACTCTGCAGTACTGCTGTTTACTGAACTGTGGCAGTGACCAGAAAGAGACCAGAAAGAGACCAGAGAGAGAGATGAGACAGAGACCAGAAAGAGACCAGAGAGAGAGATGAGACAGAGACCAGAAAGAGACCAGAGAGAGAGATGAGACAGAGACCAGAGAGAGAGATGAGACAGAGACCAGAAAGAGACCAGAGAGAGAGATGAGACAGAGACCAGAAAGAGACCAGAGAGAGAGATGAGACAGAGACCAGAGAGAGACCAGAGAGAGAGATGAGACAGAGACCAGAGAGAGATCATGGGCGGCGCGGTGGCTGAGTGGATAGCATTTTTGCCTCTCAGCAAGAAGGTCCTGGGTTCGAATCCCGGTCGGACCAGGCCCTTTCTGAGTGGGTGACTCTGGTCTGTGACAGGCGGTATATAAATAATAATTACTTACAGAGAGAGTCCAGAGAGAGAAGTTAGATCAGGCGTCTCCAACCTTTTTCACCCAGAGAGCTACTTTGCGAACACGAGAAAGACAGGGAGCTACTCCTTTATACGGTCCGGGGAAAAATGAGATGATATATTGGTGAAAGCGAGCCCGATAGCGGGATTATTAATCATCACTTATTCATTACCTGTGCCCAAGAGTATAATAAATAATGTTAAGGAATAATACATTACGAAATATTCAATATATTATTTGAGTTGTTCATTTCTAAATCCTTTGGCGAGCTACCTTTAAGGGGGTGGCGAGCTACTGGTGGCTCCCGAGCTACAGGTTGGAGACCTCTGAGTTAGATTATCTAACTTCAAAGTAATGCAGTAGAAGTAATAGTGTAATGCTTTACAATTCAGCAGAGACAGTAATATTGTAGTGTAATACATTACTTTGAAATAACTTGTCCAACACAGCTCACATAATAAACCATGTGAGAACCATGTGAGACCGCACTAAATCAGAAGAAATATCGATCATCAAGTCTGGACTGACGGTAAATGTCTGTTCTGCTGTGTTTGCAAATCAAAGGGCATCGCTCCCGGTCGCTATAAAACCCTCTGTGTCCACAACTCCTCAATCCAGACTCCTCAGGTGAGACCAGAGGGAGACCAGAGAGACAGACCAGAGAGAGACCTGAGAAGGACCTGAGAGAGATTAGAGGGAGACAGAAAGAGACCAGAATGAGACCAGCGAGAGACCAGAGAGAGACCAGAGGGAGATCAGAGAGAGATTAGAGGGAGATCAGAGAGAGAGAGAGACCAGAGGGAGACAGAAAGAGACCAGAATGAGACCAGCAAGAGACCAGAGAGACATCAAAGACACATCTGTCATATTTGGATAGTCCTTTACCTTCCATCTAGGACGTTGTTTTGTATGTATTCATTATTATGTTCCCCCCCACCCCTCCCCCCCCCCCCCCCCATCTATCGTTGCTACGTTTGTGGAGTTTGGGTTATTTTTATCGGTAAGAGTCTGGATGTGAGTGGGTCTGACGGCTGTTTGAAGCTGGCGCCCATTTTTCTGGTTCACGACAGTAGCCTGTATAGAGACGGACCGGTTAGCTCGATAGACAATGCTAACTTGCTAGCTCGACACGTGCATGTGCTCGATGGGTACATGCACGTGTGTCTCCCTCTAGTGGTGTTTGGTGAGAATGCAGCCGGGCCTAACAGAATGCAATCCCTGCCCAGATTTAAAGGTTTATTACCCTTGTTCAATCTCCTTAAAGACCTGGTCTTTCCTTGAATGAATACTGAGACGCAGTTTTACTCTGTTTCAGGATTTTGGAACTACAACTCAACCAAAGGTAAGAGTCCAGAGGGTGTGTGCATTACTAGAGGTTCTGGAGGTTTCTGCGGTCCTGAACCCTGGCCTAAGATTTTGAGGTGCTAATATCCATCCCAGCCACTTAACACTTGTGCAGGTTGGAGGTCCTGCAGGTTTGATGAGGCCAACAGAAAAACATCAAAACAGCAGAGATAAAACCTTGAGATCTCTCTAAACCCGAGAGACTGCCACAGACCTCCCCAGGGCTCCACAGCCAGGACCACAACCGCACAACCCTCCTCCTCCCCATCACCACACAACGGACCGAGCGATGATGGGGAGGAGGAGGGTTGCAGCTCGAGTTACTGTAAGTTGTTAGACGCAGAGACACGTGACATCCAACAACATTTATCCACATTTCTGGACATTGGTTTCTGCCCCTTATGGACCAATGTGTTTATTATTTATTATTGCGTTTATGTTGTTTGAACTGTTCGATTCTCTGATATGTGTTGGCAAATTCAATGTTTTTGTAAGTCCGACATTGAATTAAAATTAAAGAGAGACGTCTGATGTGTGTGTCTTCTGAGTTGGTTGTTAACAGCAGAGGCTCGGGTGTGTAGCAGTGTCAGAGGACAGATTAGAAAAACAGATTCTGGGACTGGTTGCGTCTTTCGTGGACACAGGTCAGAGACACATGGTAAAAACAGGTTTGGAAAAGGCACCATGATGTTGGTGGTTAGAGAAAATATACTAAAAATGTACATTTCTGGCCAAAAGTGGTACTGCAGCCTCTCCCACTCTCCCTGACTCAGGTTGCCAGATATGCAGATGGATCCAGCTGGGACCATAATAGAGAAGATTTTTGCCCACAAAAAAACAATAAACAACCCCTTTTTCTCAAAGATAGAAATCCTGGTTTTATTCCTTGTTTTGTTGTTAATGATTTGAGAATCATAACAAGACAGATTAGCTCGAAGAGGTGATTTCTGGCAACTACTACTACTACTCTTATCAGTTAAAGTGAAAATCTTACATATTGCTACTTTAATATCACACAATTTGTAGTATTTATCTTGTTTGAGTCCTCCCTAATAAGGTTATTCTGTGTTTTTATTTTCAACAACACTTTCTTCGCTTTTGAAATATATATAACCCATAACGAAAAAGTATTCACTGTAAAGGAGACAGATTTTTTTTTTCAACATTGAATTTTTTTGACACTACAATTTAAAACATGGATTTTCTTTACACTGAATACTTTTTTGTTATGGGTTATTTATTTCAAAAGCACAAAAAGTGTTGATAATAAAAACACAAATAACCTTCATACCTCTGTGTTTTCCTCCTGTTGACTGTGTGTTACAACACTGAAACGTCTCCTCTGTGGGTTCAACAAAGATTCTGTGTGTGTCTTGCAGATGTCTTCGTGGAAGCTGCTGGTTCTGGTCTTGTTCCTCTCCACACAGCTCATCGATGCAGTTGTGAGGAAAGAAGACCTGGCTAGATTTGTGAATGAACTTCTGAACGTGTGAGTCTCGTTGTTGAAAGAAACATGCAGCTCGGAGCCTCACGGTGGCGCTGTTTATAATAAATCATCGTTTGTTGTATTTTTCAGATACATGCCAACGATACCTGCAGGCCATCAGTAAGTTGCTTCTACAGACATTTTGTGCTATACGACGCAGCCGCCAAATATATGCTAAGCCCCGCCCCCTCTGTTCGGGTAACAAGGACCGACTTTCACCAAAGTCTAAACACCGCTGGTGCTCAGCTTCTGCCTCGTGGTTATTTACTTTGAGAGTTTGTTCCTGATTACGTTAAGAGTGTCCCCAAAGGAGAAGGCCGTACATCTGTTTTGTCCAAATGCTAACAGTTATAAATGTCCTAAAGTAAGAAAGGCTGTAATCACACCCACTTTGCATCCAATAATATCTCTATTAAAACAATATGTGATTTTACTGCTCTGTATGTCTCCAACAGTTTTCCTGAGGGGCCATCTGTGGGAGGTGGTAGGAGAACAGGTCCCACAGGTCATCTGTATGACACAGTCTATAATCTATTTATTCAAGTACAGTAATAAATAAAAGACATGGACACTGTTTTTTCTTCATCAGAGAGCCTCCCATGTTCAGTCTGGCCATTAGTATCCCGCAGAATGCCTTTGGAAGACACAACTTCAGCGAAGTGATCGCCGCTGATCCTCCCGCAAACGTGCGGAACGCCATGGACCGCTGCCAGGTACAGAGGGGGCTGCCTATAGAACCCACTTTTAACTGTCTGAAATCACGTATTATATTCTCTCACACACCGTGAGAGTATTCAAGGATCTGTAGAAAACCTCAGTCTTCTATAGATGTCGCGCAGAGAGTTTGAGCTCTGTGGACAAAAAAAATAAAATAATCAATGTACTACTGTAGGGGGCACTGAGGCACTAATTTGAACTGTTTCATATTGAGTTGGTTTGATAAGGCAGGAACAATTGGTTCAAATTTGATGGAAAGAAAAATATTTCTGTCCATTGAGAATAATTCCCCTCTGTTAAGGACCATAAACTATAGATTTCAGAAAACACACAGGCAAACCTTCGTCACAGCGAGTGTCCCTGACGGATCCTTACGGGCCTTAATAAAAAGCTGTCACCATCTTTAGCTCGGCTCAGAGTATTGCCCAAAATGCAGAACCCTCTTTTCCCAATCTTCCCCTCAACACTGCTGCCACCCCCTCCCCCATCAATCAATCAATCAATCAAATTTTATTTATAAAGCGCTTTTCATACAAATGATGCAACACAAAGTGCTTTACAGTTTGGTTAAAAACAATCCCGCCTTTCCCCCGACCACCCAACAGACCCACCACAGACAAACACACACGGATGAACTCATGCCTTCTTACACACACTCTCTCACACACGCACACACACACGCACACACCAGTAAAACAGTAAAACAATGATGAGAGACTTGGCAGGGTTCAGATGCAACCAGCTGAAATAACGTCATCCAAGGAGCCGTCTGCACCAGGAGCAGAGAGCCGCCTGTAGCCACAGGGGACAACACAGGACCCAGAGGAGACATGAAACCGAGGCCCCAGGCCCCCACCAGGCCCAAGAGTCCGACCCCCACAGCCACAGCCGACCACTGCTCCCGGTGCAGAGGGCTCCTCCAGAGGAAACACTGGGTACACTAAAAACAATACAATAAGTAAAACACTAAAAAGTGAGACTAAAAGGAACACACAATACATGAATAATAGCAATAGCAATATAATAAATAATAAAAGATAAATAGAATATATAAAATGGAATAGTAAAAACTCCCCCCTGGACTGCCACCTTAACGTGGTGGGGGAGTTTGAGTACTCGGATGATCCTGGGAGCTATGCTGTCTGGGGCTTCATGCCCCTGGTAGGGCCTCCCATGGCAGACAGGTCTCAGGTGACGAGTCAGACGAAGCGCAGTCCAGAAGACACCATGGACAGCACTCTAACAAAACCAGTGACGTCGCCCGGCATGGCGCAGCCGGGGCCCCACCCTGGAGCCAGGCCTGGGGTCAGGGCTCGTAGGCGAGCGCCTGGTGGCCGGGCCTTAGCCCACGGGGCCCGGCCGGGCTCAGCCCGAATGGACGACGTGGGCAGTCCCTCCTGTGGGCCCACCACCTGCAGAGGGGTCCGTGGTGGCATGGTGCAGAGAGGACTGGGCAGCAGTCGAAGGCGGAGACCTCGACAACCCAGTCCGCACACACAACAGCTGGCTCTTGGGACGTGGAACGTCACCTCACTGGGGGGGAAGGAGCCCGAGCTTGTGGGGGAGGTTGAGCGATACCGACTAGAGATAGTCGGCCTCACCTCCACACACAGCTTGGGCTCTGGAACCCAACTCCTTGAGAGGGGTTGGACGCTCCACTTTTCTGGTGTTTCCCGCGGGGAGAGGCGGCGAGCTGGGGTGGCCATTCTCATTGCCCCCCATCTCAGCCGCCACGTGTTGGAGTTCTCCCCGGTGAATGAGAGGGTCGCGTCCCTCCGCCTCCGGGTGGGGGACAAGTCTCTCACTGTTGTGACGGCCTACGGGCCTAACGGCAGTGCAGAGTACCCGGCCTTCTTGGAGTCCTTGGGAGGGGTACTGGACAGTGCACCGCCCGGGGACTCCGTTATTCTCCTGGGGGACTTCAACGCCCATGTGGGAAATGCCAGTGACACTTGGAGAGGGGTGATCGGGAAGAGCGGCCCCCCTGATCTGAACCCGAGCGGTGTTCAGTTGTTGGACTTCTGTGCCAGTCACAGTTTGTCCATCACGAACACCATGTTCGAGCACAAGGGTGTCCACCAGTGCACGTGGCACCAGGACACCCTAGGCCGGAGGTCGATGATCGACTTTGTTGTCGTATCATCTGACCTTCGACCGCGTGTCTCGGACACTCGGGTAAAGAGAGGGGCGGAGCTGTCAACCGATCATCACCTGGTCGTGAGTTGGATCCGCTGGCAGGGGAAGAAGCCGGTCAGACCTGGCAGACCCAAGCGTATAGTGAGGGTCTGCTGGGAACGTCTCGCTGAGCCCCCTGTCAGACGGACTTTCAACTCACACCTCCGGGAGAGCTTCTCCCAGGTCCCGGTGGAGGAGGGGGACATGGAGTCCGAGTGGACCATGTTCTCTGCCTCAATCGCCGATGCGGCGGCTCGTAGCTGTGGTCGCAAGGTCTCTGGTGCTGGTCCCGGCGGCAACCCCCGAACCCGGTGGTGGACACCGGCAGTAAGGGATGCTGTCCGGCTGAAGAAGGAGTCCTATCGAGCCTTGATGGTTCGGGGGACTCCTGAGGCAGCTGTCCAGTACCGGCAGGCCAAGCGTGCCGCGGCCCGGGCTGTTGCAGAGGCAAAAACCCGGGAATGGGAGGAGTTCGGAGAGTCCATGGAGCATGACTATCGGTCGGCCTCAAAGAGATTCTGGCAAACCGTCCGGCGCCTCAGGAGGGGGAAGCAGTTCTTTGCCAACACCATGTACGGTGCGGGTGGAGAGCTGCTGACCTCGACGGGGGATATTGTCGGGCGGTGGAAGGAATACTTTGAGGTTCTCCTCAATCCCCCCGTCACGTCCTCTGTTTCAGAGGCAGAGGCTGAGGATGTTGGGGCGGATACATCCATCTCCCTGGCTGAGGTCACCAAGGTGGTTGGTAGCCTCCATGGTGGCAAGGCTTCGGGTGTGGATGAGATCCGCCCTGATTATCTAAAGTCTCTGGATGTTGTAGGACTGTCTTGGCTGACACGTCTCTGCAACATCGCGTGGCGATCGGGGGCGGTGCCAATGGAGTGGCAGACCGGGGTGGTGGTCCCTCTCTACAAGAAGGGGGACCGGAGGGTGTGTTCCAATTATCGTGGGATCACACTCCTCAGCCTCCCCGGTAAGGTCTACTCCAAGGTACTGGAGAGGAGGCTACGGCCGATGGTCGAATCTCGGATCCAGGAGGAGCAGTGTGGTTTTCGCCCCGGTCGCGGAACACTGGACCAGCTCTATACTCTCCATCGGATACTCGAGGGTTCATGGGAGTTCGCCCAACCTGTCCACATGTGCTTTGTGGATTTGGAGAAGGCGTTCGACTGTGTTCCCCGGGGTGTCCTTTGGGGGGTTCTCCGGGAGTACGGGGTCGGGGGTCCCCTGCTGAGGGCCATCCGGTCCCTGTATGACCAGAGCCAGAGCTGTGTTCGCATTGCCGGCAGTAAGTCAGACCTGTTCCCGGTGAATGTTGGCCTCCGACAGGGCTGCCCTTTGTCACCGGTTCTGTTCACTGTATTTATGGACAGAATATCTAGGCGCAGCCAGGGGTCGGAGGGGGTCCGGTTCGGGGACCACAGGATTTCATCTCTGCTGTTTGCGGACGATGTTGTCCTGTTGGCTCCAACGAACCAGGACCTGCAGCATGCACTGGGACGGTTTGCAGCCGAGTGTGAAGCGGCTGGGATGAGAATCAGCACCTCCAAATCTGAGGCCATGGTGCTCGACCGGAAAAAGGTGCCCTGCCCTCTTCAGGTGGGTGGAGAGGTCCTTCCTCAAGTGGAGGAGTTCAAGTATCTCGGGGTCTTGTTCACGAGTGAGGGAAGAATGGAGCGTGAGATTGACAGGCGGATCGGTGCAGCGTGCGCAGTGATGCGGTCGCTGCATCGGACCGTGGTGGTGAAGAGGGAGCTGAGCCGAAAGGCAAAGCTCTCGATTTACCGGTCAATCTTCGTTCCTTCCCTCACCTATGGTCATGAGCTTTGGGTAATGACCGAAAGAACGAGATCGCGGATACAAGCGGTCGAAATGAGCTTCCTCCGCAGAGTGGCTGGGCGCTCCCTTAGAGATAGGGTGAGGAGCTCAGTCACACGGGAGGAGCTCGGAGTAGAGCCGCTGCTTCTCCACGTCGAGAGGAACCAGTTGAGGTGGCTCGGGCATCTGTTCCGGATGCCTCCTGGACGCCTCCCTAGGGAGGTGTTCCGGGCACGTCCCACCGGGAGGAGGCCCCGCGGAAGACCTAGGACACGCTGGAGGGACTATGTCTCTCAGCTGGCCTGGGAACGCCTTGGGGTTCCCCCGGACGAGCTGGAGGAAGTGTGTGTGGATAGGGAAGTCTGGGCGTCTCTGCTTAGACTGCTGCCCCCGCGACCCGGCAACGGATAAAGCGGAAGAAAATGGATGGATGGATGGATGGATGGATGGAATAGTAAAAACGAATCAAAAGCTAATCTAAAAAGGTGTGTCTTGAGGGTCCGTGTACGTCGCGGCCATTCTATTTTTGATTAGGAAAGAAAATACAAAAAACGAATATTGGCCGTTTCCCGTTTTCAAAATAAAATGTAGAAAACGAGAATTTAATCCGTTTTTCGATTTTGTGTTTTAAAATTAAAAAACGGATAACGAAAAACAGGTCATAATCCGTTTTTCCATTACACATTTACACAAGAAACACCAACATCGAAAAACCACGGCAAAAATTTGATTTTCCATTCTTGATCTTATTTTGAAGCTTATTTCTCCTCTTTGTCTAATGTACTATCAGCCCCTCCAGGATTTTGCGTGCAATTGTTGATTGATGAATAATTATTGCGGGGTAAAATGCTTGACTACGCGGGACATTTTTCCAAAAGTTTCCCTGTTGAGTTTGGAGGCGTGTGAGTCTGGCATGCAGCATTAGCTGCCAGGGAGCTATGGATGATGTTACCGTGTGGTTTATAGAAGGGACAGGGGAAGGTGATCCATGGCAGACCGGTGAGCGGGACCCATGATGAGCAACAAGTGTTAGATTTACCGCACCATGTTGTGCATTCTGCTGTGGTGCGTCTCACTGTGGAGGGTGCGTCAGGAGCGCGCCCGCTGCTGCTTTGGAACAGGGAGAGAGAGACTGACTCTGTTGCTCTGATCCCGGAGTCTGCGTGGTTTTGCGTTCAAACATTGAGAGATTCTGGAGGGAGTGACTATAGCAATCACTGGCTTATACTATAGTTAAAATAAACATAAAGTAACGTTTTTAGCGAATATTGAAGAGTTTTTTTTTATCTCAATGTCATAGCTGCTGAAGCCAAAACACTTGTTATAATGTGAAAATGTATGGTGATTTTATATTTTCCTTTGTGTTGTAGATTGTTGACCCCAGGACCCCCATTTTTCAAGAATGGAAAATCAAATTTTTGCCGTGGTTTTTCGATGTTGGTGTTTCTTGTGTAAATGTGTAATGGAAAAACGGATTATGACCTGTTTTTCGTTATCCGTTTTTTAATTTTAAAACACAAAATCGAAAAACGGATTAAATTCTCGTTTTCTACATTTTATTTTGAAAACGGAAAACGGGAAACGGCCAATATTCGTTTTTTGTATTTTCTTTCCTAATCAAAAATAGAATGGCCGCGACGTACACGGACCCTTGAGCCTGCTTTTAAAAATATGAACGTTCTCTGCGGCCCTGAGCTCCTCAGACTGTTCCAGAGACGGGGGCCGTAGTGCTGGAAAGAAGCCTCGCCGTGAGTGTGTGTCCTGACTTTGGGGATGGTTAGGAGTCTGCTGCCGGAGGAGCGCAGGGGCCGGGAAGGTTCATAGGATAAAAGCAATTTGGAAAAATAAGAAGGTCCTAGGCCTAGACCATAAAGACATTTAAAAACCATTAAAAGAACCTTAAATCGATCCTGAAACACAACACCCGCCTTCTCGTTCCCCATCACTCAAACCAAACACCAAGTGGCACCCGCCCCCTCATGCATCCCTCCACATCTCACTGCGACTCTACAAACTCCCTTAAGATCCTCCCCTGCTTTCCCCTACACCTCTTATTTTTAATTGCTAGGATGCTCAAGGTCTATTTATAGCTATTTATAGCAGGTAGGAGGGTAGGAGTGGTTAGCCTCAGGGACGTTGTTCTTCCTCATGTTGTCTCTGGGTTTCCTATCTTTATCCTTATAAACATATCCAGGACAGAAAAGAGCTGACGTGAATGGCCTCATCCACAGTAGAGGACACACTCTTGACCTGTTAATTCATAATTAATATATTACAAGTGTAATGGTTAATGTCGCTCTTGTGTGACGACAACTACTGATCTTTAGCCTACTAATCTTTAGCCTGGACCCGAAACACACCTAAACTGTAACTGTACAAACTGTAATAGTGTTTTAAGATTCATGAATCTTTTACTCCATTGTGTCAGGTGTACAATGGCACTCGAGTGGTGGCTTCAACACTGCTAAAGTATCCAGACTTCATAACACGCTGTCCTAACGAGCCCATAACCTGGGACTACGTCAAGCAGAAGTGTCCCACACTTCAGCGCTGGGGGGATTTTGAACAGTGCACAAACGGAGAAATCAAGCAGCTGAAGCGCCTGCCGGGAGGGGATGGGCTGGTCCAACATGCCGAATTTCGCGTCTTGGAAAAGATCCAAACTCTGACGAAAAAAAATCAACAGGGTCGACGGCCTCCGCAGCAGCGACCTCATGCTGTTTTACACGTACAAGTCGCCATGCAGCTCACGCTGCTGCAGCTCAGACAACACCTTCAACATCATCAACAAACTGGCCGGCAGTATTCGTCGCTGGAATAATTACGCTGTGGTGTTTTCTAAAATCTTTGTGCCGGGCAGAACTTCGTCCACAGGGGATCAACTGGAGCAGGACCGTCGCACCGCGCTGCTAAACCTCGGGAACGGTATCGGCGGCACGGCTAACATCTACCGCTGCACCCGGGGCTCGAGCGCCTGCTACAGCTGCAACGCTCCAGACGGGATCAACAACGACTGTGTGAGAACCCCACGCAGCCCCAGTGCTCCCCCTGGTGGGCACTGAGAAAGCATTTTGGCAAAGCATGTAGCATTGTCTTTCGGTATGAATATGTTCTGTAAAAATAAACGTGTCTTGTCAGAACAGTAGTAGTGGTCATCTTAGTTTATGTAGCACTTTTCACAAACCAAGGTCACACATTTACAAGATAATTCGAGGTGATAGTCACTCCAAACACGGCTACAGAAGCAAGATGCCAAACACATCGAAGCCTCCGACCAGAGACAGAGAGAGACCAGAGAGAGCAGATACCAGAATATCCCTATTTCACAGTCAATAGCAGAGAATTTAACCTCATATAGATCAGAATCAGAATCTTTTATTTTATTTTATTTGTATATTTTTTTTTTGCGTTTGACCCTGTTATCACATTGTTCTAGTCGTACAACGTGGTAACAGGGCCAGGCTAATGCTACAACATTAGCCTAGCTGTAGCCATCTATAAACTCCGGTCAATTACCATTTGCCGTTTCCTCGGTTGAATCCCCTCCAACCAATCAGCGAGCGGGAGGCGGACGTGTTGTTGGTTGGTGTCGGTGACGTCAAGAGTTTGCGCTAACTTTGCTGGTTTGGCGGAGAATACGATTCAATTCGTTCTGGTTCGTCTCCAAATATCAAGAAATTGAAGCCGGGTTAAGAGAAATGTTATGTTATGTTGTGGCTCTACTCCCCACAGGCTGTTAGTGGCAATGGAGATGGCTAAAGCTAGGCTAAATGTTGTTGAATGTTGAGTGTCCTGGGTCATCACTACTGTCCTTAGACTCTCCTGCATCAAAAAGGAAACAACTTTGATTGAAAAACAAAACAAAAAAAAGCTGGCAAAATTTAGAGAGGGATCCGAACGAGGACTGAGGCCACACGGTGCAGGACTCAGGCTGTAGAACGAGGACGAGGTCACACGGTGCAGGTCTCAGGCTGTAGAATGAGGACCGAGGCCAGGCGGTGCAGGACTAAAAAGCACACAGTGATAAAATGGCAAAATTCAAAAACTCTAAAAACAACAGAAAACTGAGTTATTCTTTGGGAAAGCGAATGAAATTATAAGAGATAGAAGTCGGCACAGATCGATAACGTCGGCCTGAAGGAAGGATTTTATATTCACCCACTAGAACTCCCAAAGCAGTCAATTTATATTATTAAACAAACACAATAAAAGTGGTATTGAGTTTATTTGAAACGAGGCTGTACATATGTCAGCTCACAACCTCAACATAAATATTCTGGAATTAGCACAATAAATAAACTGCAGCCATTGCCTTAAAGTGAGTAGAAGAAACAAACACATAAACAATGTATTGTTTAAGCAGTGCATTCTGTATAATAACAGGGACACGGGAAGAGTCTTGTGTGCTCCAGTTTTGTTGGAATGAAAACCCGCAGTCTCCTCTGAGGACCTCTGCTGTAGAGTCGGACTCAAGTTTGTTCCAGATGCCACGTCCTCAGACCAGGTTCTCGCAGATTTCAATGTGTCCACGAAGATGTGACCCTTGTGTAAAAGTCTTCCCACACTTTTCACAGACGAATGGTTTCTCTCCAGAGTGGATCCTCTGATGACGTTTGAGATTTGCGCTCTGGGTGAAAGTCTGATCACAGACGTCACAGCTGAAGGGTTTCTCTCCCGTGTGGCTCCGATTGTGAACTGTGCGCTCTGTTGCCGTTTTAAAACTTTTACTGCAGCGGTCACATGGGAATGTCATTTCTCCAATGTGGGTTCTCTCGTGTCTTTTGTAGTGGGAAGACGCAGTAAACTTCTTCCCACAGTCTCCACAGACAAATGGCCTCTCTCCAGTGTGGATTCTGTAGTGCACAGTGAGGTCACATAAATATGCAAAATTCTTCTCACACTGGTCACATCGGTGCGGCCCCTCTCCTGTGTGGACACGCTGATGTTTTGACAGCTGCTTTTTGGTCCTAAACGTTTTTTCACACTGGTCACACTCAAACGGTTTCTCTCCTGTGTGGATCATCTGGTGATCTTTGAGAGTACGCTCTTCTCTAAAACTCTGGCCACAAAACTCACAGCTGAAGGGCTTATCCCCTGTGTGGATTCTGCTGTGAACCTTGAGATGTGCCGTTTGAGAAAAACCCATTCCACACAGACCACACTTGTATGGTTTTTCTCCAGTGTGAGTTCTGTAGTGGATCTTCAGAGCAGACGCACAACAGCAGGTCTTTCCACACTGGTCACAGGTGAGTCCCATCCTGTAGATGGACTGTGTAAATCTGTAACAAACACAACAAATAGACGCCATAAATATATATACACAAAAAAAGATACTGTACGCACAAAGTTATCCCTCACTACTCTCTCCTTTACCTTCAGACTCTCTCACTACTGTCTCCTTTACCTTCACTCTCTCACTACTGTCTCCTTTACCTTCAGACTCTCTCACTACTGTCTCCTTTACCTTCAGACTCTCTCACTGAAGAGTTTACCACTAGAGGCCGCTAGCGGTTTGGTGGAGATCAGCGAGGGAGTCGAGGGTCCGCAGGATTGAAAGTTTTACCCTCCTAATGCTAACCCTAGCGTGCTGTTCTTGTTTTGTATGTAAGTTATGTTTTCTACATTTATATTTGTTTCAAGCCACTGCATTTTGTACATGTATTTATAAGCGATAGTGTTAGCTTATGCTACTATGTTTGTTTATTGCAGGGCTTCCTCATCTCTGTCATTAAAACATAAATTGACATAGAGGAGTCTCTTTCTTCATGAGGAAGCCATGGTTATCATTGAGTGCTCAGTTCCTGGCTGCGCCTTCCAGACCCAAGACGTTTCTGAAGCCCTTGCCATTGCTCTTTTGACGAACCATGGACTGGCCCCATCAGGTCCCGCCTGTCGTAGCCCAAGCCCCGGTCGGTCATGGCCCGAAGCTTGATCGTCCTAGTGTGGACATCGGCGTATCAATAGAGGAATGGAATGTGTTCACACGCCGCTGGGAGGTTTTCCGTGCTGGTTCGGGCATAAGTGACGCCCAGGCCCCTTTCCAGTTATTCCAGTGTGCTGGGCCTGAACTGGGTGACAGCCTGTTGAAAGCTAATCCCAATGCTGCTTCTGGTTCTACGCCTGACCTCATCGCCGCCATGCTATCGCTCGCAGTCATCCCTGTGGCCACATGTGTTCTGCGCACCGAGCTGCTTCAGTTACACCAGGAGCGCGATGAGACATTCCGGGCATTCACAGCGAGAGTGCGGGGTAAAGCCGAGACATGTGCGTATGCTGCAGCGTGTGTGTGTGGGTTGAATGTGGATTATACTGACCACATAATCCGCGACGTTCTGATTAACGGGATTTTTGACTCTGATATACGCCGTGAGACGCTGGGTATACCTGATGTCCTGTGTAAGCCTGTTAACGATGTAATCGCGTTGGTTGAGAATAAAGAGATGGCCCGTAACGCTCTACCGTCGTCCACTCTGTCCGCTATGTCATCTTTACAGCGCTCAAGGAAGGTCACTCAGGCGAGCGCTGCTCCGTCTCTAGCCCAGCCTGACAGAGCTAAACAGGCATTGTGCCCGGACTGTAAAATCACTTTTAATGTCTTCACCGAGGGGTCTCGTGGGTGGAACACTAAACCTCACCGAGTGTGCGCTGATTGTTACAGGGCCCACCGTCGCAAGCGCCGCCAGGAACCATCTGCTGGTAGTCAACAAGCTGCAATTCAATCAGGGCCGATATCCCAGATCTCTTCGGTGCAATCAGGGGCCCGCCCTGTCCAACGCCTCAGGTGCCGCCACCGGCGTCGTCCTCCTGCGGTGATCAATGAGCCCCAGGCCATAAAACTTGAGCACCATATTTTCACTAAGGCCCCGACTCCACCGGGCGCGTAAAACGGACGACGGATCCGTCCAAACATGTCCGTTTCATCTCCGTCTCCGTTATCTCCATGAGAGTGAATGGAAGTGGCTCCACTGCCTCCGCATGCGTCCGTCCAACGCACGTCGGACCTATTCCGTCAACGGAGGGTGCAAAAGACGTGGACGGACGAAATAGAAACAATCCTATTTGTTACGTCCGTCGACGCGTGTCGGGTCCGTTTTCCATTGAAAATGCAATGGAATAATATATTTACAACATTGTTAAACATGTATTGATATGCTGTAGTCCTTGGTTATAAGTATTTGTTAATGACAATGATTATTAACAAACGTGTGTAATGTTTTTCATGTATTAATTTAAATAATTGTTTCCTGATCGTAAATCTACCATTTATTTTTCGCGTAATGTTAATACACTAATCTTTACATACACCTCGCTCTTTTTTCTCTCGCTCTGTCCCGTCTACCTCCGAGGCGCTCACACACACACAGAGCTGCACTTATGAGAGACAGATCTCACAACACTGGATATGTTGGAGTTCTTTTCTCTCTCCCCTTTTTCCAATTGCTTTCAATAAGTTTTGCCTCATCCATCGCGACGTCCTCAATGCTTCAATATGCTGTGCTTTGCACTGATCATAGCCACAGCTCATACAAATCACACACCGCTTCTTCTATTTAAAACTATAGCGGCTGCCTGTTGCCTAAAGCCGCGGAGAGGCGAGTTGGGTCCGATAAAAGTGTATCATGCGCTAAATAAGTAGAAAACAAACGAAGAGGCTGGATCATAATAAACGCTGCAGTCACAGACCCAAACACACATGCACGCACACGCCTCCCACCACACACACACACACACACACACGGGCGCTCTCACGCACACGCTCACGCACACATGCACGCCGACAATACATAACTCCTCCATCAGCCAAACATTCATTCATTCACACAATGCCCAAACATGTCTCCTACAAAAACAAAGCAGGCTGATAAACGCACAGCCAGAGTTGCTGCTGCAGCCGGTTTGACCACTAGTCCGTTTTACGGACGGCTGACGGACAGCAGCCAACGCGCGTCAACGGAGACGCGCCCGGTGGAGTCCAGGCCTAAGGGCGGGTGGAGACGTGCTAAGATGAGGGACCACCCCAGGGTGCGCATCACCATCTCGATCGACGGAGTGGGGGACACGA